GCGCTGACCGGGCGAACAGCTCTTGGATTGTCGCCAAGGGAACCGGTCGGCAGCGGAATACTCCTTGGAATTCCGCACCATCGATGCGGGGCTCCGGTGGACCGAGGACACCCTGATGACCATCTTCCAGCGGGGCCTTAACCAGGACCTACAGGACGAACTCGCCACCCGCGAAGACGCTTATCATTTAAGGAGTTCGTTAGGCTAGTGGTTCGGCTGGATAACACCGTCAGGGACCACCGCCGCTGTCGCCATCAGTCCCACCGGTCACCACCGAGCCCAGCCCTCAATCCCTCCGAACCCATGCAGCTGGGAAGGTCTCCCCTCTCCGTGGCAGAACGAAGAAGAAGGACGCAGGGAGGCCTATGTCTGTACTGCGGGGAGACTGGACATGCAATCATCACCTACCCCGTGAGACCCCGTAGAACGGAGGTCCTTCCGCCGGTAGGTGGCCCATCTCGACTCTCGTCCGTCCTAAACCAACTAACGGTGCCGGTAGTTTTAGGACCCAGAGGGAATTGGGTTACAGTCCTTGCTCTCGTGGACAGTGGGGCGGCCGGCAACTTTATTGATCTAACCCTGGCGCGCCGCTTAGGTCTTTCTTTTCAGAAACTCGCCCGCCCGATCTCTGTCCTGGGAGTAACAGGGGAAAAGATTGAGGAGGGGACCATTCAGTTCTCCCCCTTCATGCAGAGGATTTCGCGATGTATGTGCTCCCACACGCAAAAGATCCTTTGATTCTAGGTTTTCCCTGGCTGCAACAACACAACCCGCAACTCGATTGGAAGAAGGGTGAGCTGACCACTTGGTCCCGCAAGTGTCTAACCCCCTGCATGTCCCTTCCCTGTAAGGCTTCCAGAGTGGAGAGTCCCGAACCAGAGAATCTAAGCCTAATTCCGGAGGAATATCAAGACTACCGTGATGTGTTTAGCAAGGTCTCTCCCCCCGCACCGGGCCTGTGATTGCGCCATCAAGCTCCTGGAGGGCGCTACTCTACCCAAGGGGAAATTGTACCCCGTGTCCCTCCAGGAGGAGGAGTCCCTGGAGGTTCACATTCAGGAGGGCCTAAAACAGGGGATTATTCGCCCCTCTACCTCACCAGTAACTGCGGGGTTCTTTTTTATTAAGAAGAAGGGTGGGGGGTTGAGGCCGTGTGTCGACTATCGTGCCCTTAATGCCATTACTGTAAAGAGAAGGGAACCGTTGCCATTAATCCCCGCTTCAGTGGAGCAGCTTTGGGAGGCCCGTATTTTTACCAAGCTGGACCTCCGAAGTGCCTATAACCTGGTAAGAATTAAGCAGGGAGATGAATGGAAGACGTCGTTTGTCACCAGTAGGGGGCAGTATGAATATCTTGTCATGCCTTACGGGCTAGCTAACAGCCCCTCAATCTTCCAGGCGTTTATGAATCATGTATTTAGGGACATGCTGCACCATTTTGTTATACATTGATGAGATTCTTATCTACTCCCCTGATAAGCAGACGCACATCCAGCATGTACACCAGGTGCTGCAGCGATTACGGGAACATAGCCTGTTTGCTAAGGGGGAAAAGTGTGAGTTTCACCTACCTCAGGTCCAGTTCCTCGGCTATGTAATCCGGCACGGGGCTGTGGCGATAGAAACAAAGAAGGTGACTGCTATCCTGGACTGGCTGAGACCTCAAACCCTTAAAGAGCTGCAGAGATTCCTGGGGTTTGCAAACTTCTATCGCCGTTTTATTCGCAATTTTAGCCAGGTGGCGGCGCCCTTTAAACCTCCTTGACCCGCGGCCAGCCGTCCCGTCTACCCTGGCCCCCAGAAGCAGCAACGGCTTTCACGAAGCTCAAGAAAACCTTCAGCTCCGCTCCCATTCTCGCTCAGCCCTGGCCCGATCTCCCCTTTGAGGTCGAGGTAGACGCCTCAGAAGCGGGAGTGGGAGCAGTTCTCCTGCAACGCGATCCTCAGACCGGAAGGCGGCACCCCTGCGCCTACTACTCCCGCAAGCTGACCGCCGCGGAACGGAATTACCAGGTGGGAGATAGAGAATTGTTAGCCATCCGCCTGGCGCTAGAAGAGTGGAGACACTGGCTGGAGGGTGCACGTTATCCTTTCTTGGTCCTCACAGACCATCGAAACCTGGAGTACCTCCAGTCAGCCAAGCGCCTCTCTGCCCGCTAGGCTCGCTGGGCTCAATGGTTTGCCAGGTTTGTTTTTAAGGTCAGTTACCTGCTGGGGAAGAAGACCATTAAGGCGGATGCCCTCTCCCGGCAGTTCGACCCCCCAAACAGCGAGGACCGAACCAGCCCCATACTCAGTCCCACCTGCTTCACATCCACTATCATCTGGACCCTGGAAGAAAGCATTCGACAGGAGAATGAGGGGAGGACCCCTCCTCCCGGCTGTCCGCCTGGACTGCAGTTCATAACACGGAGACACCGCATTGCACTTCTCAATTGGGTGCATTCCCAGCGGGGTACCGGACACCCTGGGGTTGCTGCAACCCGACGGTTTGGCCAAATGGGCAAACCAGGAGGTAGCCAAGGCTCTCCGGATGCTTTGCCATTCAGATCCCTCCAGTTGGGCAGCACACCTAGTGTGGGCGGAGTACTCCCTCAATACCCGGGTGAGTCCAGTGACTAACTGTTCCCCATTCCAGTGTGTCTTAGGGTACCAACCTCCCCTCTTTCCCTGGGACTTCCCGGACGGGCCGGTGCCACGAGTGGAAGACTGGTACTGAGAGAGCCGTCGAGCCTGGCAACAGATACAACAATCATTGCAATCCGAGGCACAGAGACGAAAAAACCAAGCCGATTGTCGACAGAGACCAGGCTAATCCTACCGAGCAGGACAACTGGTATGGTTATCCACTAAGAACCTGCGCATCCCAGGGTGCCGTAAGCTGACCGCCTGCTTCATTGTCCCCTTCTGCGTCCTTCGCCGGGTGGGGCCTGTGGCCGTCCGTCTCCAGCTGCCCAAGATATATCGTATCTGTCCCACGTTTCACGTGTCCCTGCTCAAGCCAGTGAAACGCAGTTCCCTGAAGCCCGAAGTCACCCCCGCCGTGGACCCTCCCCTGGCGGTCCAAGGGGATGGCCCCTCTGACCAGATCCACTCCATTCTGGACTCTTGCCGCCACCATGGCCAGCTGCAATACCTGGTGGACTGGGAGGGCTGCAGTCCGGATGAGCGCAGTAACTGACCCCGCTCTCAAGGCTGCCTTCCATCTTGCACGCCCGGATCGGCCAGCCCCCCGGCCGCGGGGGCGGCCCCGCAAACGCCCTCAGCCTCCAGGAGGCGGCCGTCGGGGGGGGTACTGTCATGCCCACAAGGGGCGGGACCGAGCGGGAGCACGGCAGTATGCCTAATTAGGGGCTTTACAAAAGACACCAGCGCTCTAGGGCACATCGCGAAGTATTGTGCCAAATGAGTTTTGTCTGCCGTCTTTTGTCTGTCCACTTTCCCTAACCTAATCCGTCTGCCTGGTGTGAATCCCTCACCCTGCTTCCTTTCCCTCTCCAGCCCAGCTCCAGTGCCTGACCCGCTTCCCTTGCCAAGCCCTGCTCGTCCCGTCTTCCCTTCCCAGTGTGATCGTGTCCTGTACTTACCTATCGGATGGATTTCCTGGTTTCTGACCCTCGCGCCCATTCATCGACCTTGCCTTTGGATCACCCTTGTCTGTACCTTTGCTAGATCGCTGCCAATAAAGCTAGCAGTACCCCGCATTCCTGGATCTGTGTCTATCTGCCTGGGCGAACGCCACAAACAGTACCATACATATAATATAGCTTATTGTAGTTTTGCTTGTTTTTGTTAGTTTGTCATAAGCTTTGATGAGTCTATATTTGTCACAGAAAAAATGCCTTTCTTTTTCCTGTCATGTTTTCTGTGCACGCAGCATTAGCCTCAGGTAGCTAGCTAGAAGCAGACGGGCTACCACAAGATACAGCAGGCTTAGCAAACTTATGCAAAGAAAACACATCATATGAAAGTTACACGGTGTGCATTGTCCCCCAAAGTTTAATACTTACAGTACACTTTACTGGACATGTCTATGTTGTTTAGGTTAATACTTATTAGTCCATAAACAAATTCTATCGTTTGTAATTTAAATGGACACAGTGCAAATATTAATGGTAATGAAAAAGTTTTGCAAGATCTCGCAAAAATCCATCTCACCTTTGCAAGATCTCATAAAAGGGCACGTTTTGTTTTTTATTTCAACCACCAATTTTTCCACCCCTCCATGTCCTTTCCGAGGCTCCATACAAAACAAATGAATGAATGATACATGGATTCTGCCAAAGCAGGATTTATGTGTGCTGGAATTGACTACTCAGTTTGGGCAGGAAGTCATGCCCAAAGTCAGTTGATTCACGGCTTGTCCCTTTGAGGAAAAGCAAATGCAATACGGTAAAAGAAAAACAAAAAGGCAAAATTAAAAGCAATATGGCAAAAGCAATACAGCAAAATTAAAAGCATTAATTTTCTTATTTCTTTGCTTCTAATTTCTTTTCCTTATTATTTTATTTTTATTTGTATCTATTTCACTTTCTGATTGAACATTTATTTGTTTATTCTTTTACATTTTTTTTCTTTTTTATGACACTCCTGTCACTCCATGTAGTATTTAACCAATAGTGGCTGTTAATAAAGACAGCAACATTCATTATAAAAGAGCTGTCATATCATTCATTATTATGGTTCAACCTTTCTCCGCAATATTTTTTTAACCATCTTCTCCTGCATCGAAAACATTGTTTTTTTGGAATGTTTGCGTGTTAATACACTTATTGTAATGCGATTGTCAAATAAAATAATTTTCTTTATAAAGGTGAGATTTGGTATTCAAAAAAACATTTTTTTTCTAAAAACAGTTGCCAAAAGTGGGGGGTCGTCTTATAGTCTGGGTTGCCTTATATTCCGGCCAATATGGTAATGAAAAACAGCACACAGCATACATGCAATTATGGAAGCTGTTGTATTTACATGCTTATATTTTGTTTCAAACAAATAATTACCTTTTTACACGTGGTGACAGTGGTCCCCAAGGTGCTGTCAGTACTCAGTCCTTCTGTATCTGTGGATTCGGAGATCTCAGACATTCCTGACGACTGCAACTTACTGAAGATGGACATAAAGGACTGTTACACTTCAATGTTTGCTGGACGGTCACAACACATACCTAAGTAAATATGATCTGTGTCAGTATTCTTTCAAAGCAAATGGCTGACTCCTTGTCAGAATAAATTGAATTCTCCTTTTCATTTACAGTACATAAAAAAACCAAATTAAACTTTTCTTTCAATTTGTTTTAAAAATATTGATCAAGGTAGGCAACCAATAATAGCTTTAATTAAAGGTTAACATGAATGATCAAGTTAAAGACTTATTGACAAAGGAAATCCATTAGCCCACTTTGACCCAAGTTTTCATTTAAATTTCCATTGTTCTGCTTTTCATTAACTGTCCCCCTGTGAAAGAGTATGCGGAATCAATCACATTGTCCTGGATGACCTGCAATATACACCCATTCACATTCTCATATTAATATACTCCAATGCAAGATGACTGTTAAACAGTTATAATGTATAAGCACATTACTACTCATGTTTTGTTCAACCAAAATATGGACACACCACATGCATATATTGAAAAGAAGAAGAAATGTACGCAAATTTCTGTATACGTCATGCCATATTTAAGGTTTTAAACATTTTCTGTTTTTATTTTTTTATTTGTAAATGGAAACAAGCACTGGATAAACAGTTGGGAGATGGATGGATTTCCTTGTTTCTTTACATAATTCATCTACTAACAAATTTAATAATCCATTAAAATGTACTTAAGTATACAGTACTAAGGATGGGCATTTCAGGTACAATTACTAGTTGAACTTTGCCAGTCATTACCCCAACACACACACACACACACACAGAAATGTGATTGGATTAAAATATTTTTTTCTTCCCATACAACATGAGTTATTACTTGTTGCTGAAAATGATAACATAAAACATTAAAAAGTAGCGTGAATAAATTAAATTGAAACTTAAACTTTAGAGATAGCTCAAATGCAGTAGAATGCAATAACATTAGCTAGCTTGTGCCTTGGGAAAATGGTGGGAAATAGGGATTTCTTTATTTTTAAAAATCCTAACTAAGCTTCTCTGGCTCAGCCTAATCCTGTTATTGATGGTTTTCATGTTATTGTTGCTTGTTGTGGGGTTACTTTAAAGAGCAACATAAAGAACAACATTTTAATTTGCCACCACAGCTTTTCCTTGGTCTGCTCGGCGCTTCAATATAGTAAAATATTGTAAATGAAATTAAGCTTATTATAGTTTATTATAGTATATCTCGGTGGCTAGTTTTCGGGGGTTTATCATAAGCTTCGATGAGTCCATATTTGTAATTGAGAGTAAATTACTTTCTTTTCTCCGTCATGATTTCTGTGCATGCAGCATTAGCCTCAGGTAGCTAGCCAGAAGCAGACAGGAGTAAAATAGAAAAAAGAATTATCGTAGTTTAAAATTTTTTCCGTATGTTGCAATGTATAAAAAGACCCAAAATGAAGACTTTCAGTGGACTACTTGATTACTATAAGCAAATATTTAAACAGAATTTGTATAAGGATGATCCTGTCCCAAGCTTATTGATAAATAAAAGCGGTTGGTAACTATATAACCATGATCATTTTAAGCTGGTTCCACTGTCTTTAAAATAGCTTATTTATTTATCAATTTTATTTTTTTTGATTTTATACACGTTCTCGAATTTTCGACAATGCTTACTCGATCAACCCTAACATAGATTCATTAGGTACACCTAGTACTGTAGTAGAACCTACTTTTGCCTTCAGAACCACTTCCAGGTAGACAAGCTAGACATTTACCAAGTTTTTTCTGCACACCACCGTTGTACTGAGCTCTTATTTTTGCACGTTTGGCTGCCCTGTTAGCTTGGAGGAGTCTGGACATTTTCCTCTTACCTCTGAACTACATTGTGGGAAAACCCCAGGACAGTAGAACCTCCACTTATGGCACCAAAAACACACCAGTGTTGTGTACAAGTCCACCTCAAATGTCAAATGTATATGCCATTTTTATCTACTAGGCTTGTGCATCGATGTGTCTATGCATGTTCTGACCATCCATGCTCTCTGCCTTCCCACATGTGGGCACCATCTGAGCTGGAGTCCTGTTTCTGTCCCATGGAAGTGTGACATTGTGGATGTGACTTATGAACTTACCATCATGGGTGCAAACTTCAATCTGCCACCCTACACAGGCCAGTGTGGAGAACTGACTCTTTGATGGACTTTGGCTAGACGATGATCACAGTTCACACCTTAATAAGTAAGCAAGGCCACTCTATCTTTTTCAATAATGTTATTATGCCCGGGGGGTTGGGCATCCAGTTGACCTTGGACCCCCAGAGGTTTTTTTCTCCCTACTTCGGAGTTTTTGGTTCCTGTCGTCCATTGTCATGTGGCTTTTTTTCTTTCATTTCTTTGTCTTCCCTTTTCCCTGTCTTTGTATTATTCTGTCTTAACTATATTGTAATGTATCACTACATACCCATAGGGTGACTGTTGTGAAAGGCACTACATAAAAAAAATAATTGAACTGAAATTGAAATCCAAGTCAAGACATTATCTTTAACAAATTGAGTCCAAGTCCAGACCAAGACCAAGTCTAAAGTGGGGCAGGTCTGAGAGGTCCAAGTCCAGAAAAACACAAGTTAACCGTCACTTGCATGCACCCGAGGAATCAATCAAAATGTAGCATTCTAGACACAACTACATCTTAAAGGGCTAATCATATGCTGTCCGTGCTGTTTTTTGGCTGCATCCTTTTATTTATTCTCTGGCATGTACAGGGGACTTTATAAAGCAAAATGGACCAGATGTAATAGCTGACACTTTTTTCTGCTCATTTTGGTATATCTGTCATATATTCGTACATAATGGCATTGACATGGCACTGAGGCTCATTGTGTAGCTTCGTACCTGTGGGGGGACTGAATCCTGCTTCTGCTCTGTGGAGTTTCCATCTTTTTCAAATAGCATGCCCAGAGACTTGTGGCTAGGCAATCTGGTGTCTCTGAATTGTCTATAATGTGTGTCTTAAGCCCTATGCTGACTGGGATGGGCTCCACCCCACCAGGGCCATATTATCCAGGGTAAGTCAAAGGATGGTTGGATGATCTAGAAGCCAGATTTCACGAGTCTAATTATTCCTCAGATTTAAAAAACAAACCCCTAAGCAGCAACAGTACAGTGTACTTTGCAAGGTGTGTTCAATTAAATAAGTAAAGTTAGGTATGTTAAAACATATTTGGTCATTTGATGTGCCTCGTCAGTAGGGTAGGTAAACATTGGGGATGCTCACAGACAAACTGCATAATGAGAAATATTATAAGTGTACAGGGACCAAGGTTATGCATTTTGTATTTGGCAAATTGTGATCAAATAAAATAATAATAGTGTTATTATTATTATTATTTTTATTATTATTTATTATTATTATTATTGACCGTGTGTGTGTGTGTTTGTGTGTATTCGTAAACAACAAAGACTTAAATATAGATTGGTATCGTGCGTTCGTATGCTTACGAATGCATTGCAGTAAACACATGCATGTAGGCTACTTACAGGACAAACTTTATGCAGCAATAACTGCACACCATTTCTAAAAATGTGGTATCTGATATCTTCAGAAACGACATGTAATTTTAAGAATCGGTTGAACAATCATATAAGTACTAAGATACTATCTTAAAACATACTTAATAATATAGTTAATCGGACACCAATCGGACAACATTAGATTACATTTTTATATGATGTTCTGTAATTACGGAACCTTAATGTTATCTAAGTCGATGACAATCGACGCCTGAAATACGAAATACTGCACGAACATCGTATACATTGTCATCTACAGTTAACAATGGCACATATCAAAACCACAGAAACATGTTTTGATGGATATTACTTCGAACTTTTCATTCACCATGAAATCTGGTTAATAAAGCATAAAAGGCGTCTTTTATGTTGTATAAATTGCTATGTCCTTTAACGGTCGTTTCGATACAGGAACCTGAAGTAATGTTTTTCGCCTCTCCGACCTCCTAGGATAAATTAGTTTTCAAGGTGAATTAGCAAAGCATGTCATAGTGTTCGGCACTTCATATGCAATCATAAATCTACAGAAATACCTACATTTAGAATACCACGCGGGTATTAGTTTTCTAATATCACCGATGTCTTGTACTTCAGGGAATAATAACGCGAGCCAATGCCGGTAGTAAGCAGATCCATGTTATCCAACTCTAACAAAATAAAAATGGTATTAAATTATATTCGGCACGTACCAGATACTAATAGTAAATAAAATTTTCTCACGTACCTCGGCGTTTTGAGAAGGTACTTAGCCCCAGCCATCCCGTCAGAAACCAGAACCAGAAATAGGGTAGTAATATTCTCGTCGATGACGGCGATGAAGGCTGTAGTCACACTGGTTCAAGAGACACGCTTCTGCCCTGAAGCACATCCCTGATTCAGGAGCCACAGCATTCATGCAAGCGCTCCTTAATTGTCTCAGAAATTTGGGTTTCTAGATCATCAGCACAAACTGTTTATGACGAAATATAAGATTGTCCGACATTAACAGTAAAGATCCAACTTTGTGTACCCGTTAATGATTTATGATTTATGCATATTACATTAATATCAATTTAAAGCAAAGATGTGCCCCTTTTTCCCAAGACAAAAATACGTATGCGTCTTATAGTTTGTATTTTGCACAATAGGCTACTTTTATATATGTATTTATTGCAGTGTTACTGATGACGGTAAAAGCTTTTTGCTCGAAATATATTAGCAACTTACTTTTCTAAGTTTTCAGCCGAATGTATTTGGGCAATCTTTTGATAAGGTAAAGCGCCATACTCAACAGTGAAGCACCAGATACTTTCCTGAGGTTGGGACTAGCACACTCGTAATCTTTGTTCTGCTTTCTCGGCCACTTGACCATGTGATATCCGAAAGAGAGCTGTTTATAATAATGCCGAATCTGATACCGGGGGGGTTGGCACTGTAAGTATCCACTGTTTTGGTACAAAGCGCCAACGGAACGGTGATCTAAATAGCGACAGTTAGTACTGTGTTGTTAGTCTTAAAAATATATATTTTTTACAGTTATATTACTATTAAAAATTATTATTAAATATGGGTTGCTTTAAAGTAAACATAAAATGATTGATTCATTAACATTTAATGCAAACTTTGGATTTCAAGTGGCACAATCCTTTCTGTGTATAAAAAAGTAATTTAATAAAGCCCATTAAATAGTCCTTTTTATGCCTTCCAGGCACTGTGACAGACGGGCAATGTATATGACATATTACTTGCTTATCTCATTCTTACCTTCTGGATATTTGATGCAGTGTGATTTAGTTTCATCAAAGGGTTTTACACCTCATTAACACCCTTGAATGTGAGACCTGACTGAAACAGGGATTAATGCTTCAGACCTGAAGATTACATTTTGGTTTGTTTATCAGTGCTGTGTCCATGCGATATCAAGGACCAGCAGGACATGGAGCAGAGAGTTACGAAACACTCATGAAGGACGAATACAAAACGGAACTTGGGATCAGATTTAGGTGCCAGGCCTTAAAAAGACAAGTAATTACAATTACCAACAAGGAAAGCATTAGTGTGCAGCTATTTTGAAAAAAGCAATAAGGAAAAGAAAAAAAACCAAAGCACAAATATCTAAACAATGAAGTGAAATAAAAAGAGGCTACAGTGATTGTGTTCCTACCACTCCAGCCTCTCTCCTTTGCATTAACACTGCTCTCCTCTGCCTGTCTGTCTGTCATTTCACTCTTCTGCCTTGCATTCCTCCTCTCCATTTCAGGTCCAGCCACTGCCCCTGCCTGAACTTCCTATTCCCATCTTGCCCTGCCCCCCACTGTCACTAGGGACCACTGTCATCACGGCTGTACAAGTCTCTGCACGCCTGTCTGGGTTATGCTCCCACTCAGTCCTTCCCTTTAGTGTCCTCCCACATGCAGGAAACAGCATCTTTCAGAATCATAAGTATTAGAGCAGCTTCAGTCTGACCAGCACCATCCTGCTGATTCTCCTAATCGTACTCTCCCTGAATGTCTCCTATAGCTATGCGTTACTAAAATTCATGTCATGTTCTGGCTCCTCATGATGAAAGAACCTTGCAAACCCTTTTATCATATGGTAATATATTTACTACCCAGCTACTTATATTTACTCACCCAGTTGATTTACAAACCTTATGTAGCCAGTATCTTCAATTCATCCATTTTCCATAGCTACAGTATATACACTCACCTAAAGGATTATTAGGAACACCTGTTCAATTTCTCATTAATGCAATTATCTAATCAACCAATCACATGGCAGTTGCTTCAATGCATTTAGGGGTGTGGTCCTGGTCAAGACAATCTCCTGAACTACAAACTGAATGTCAGAATGGGAAAGAAAGGTGATTTAAGCAATTTTGAGCGTAGCATGGTTGTTGGTGCCAGATGGGCCGGTCTGAGGATTTCACAATCTGCTCAGTTACTGGAATTTTCACGCACAACCATTTCTAGGGTTTACAAAGAATGGTGTGCAAAGGGAAAAACATCCAGTATGCGGCAGTCCTGTGGGCGAAAATGCCTTGTTGATGCTAGAAGTCAGAGGAGAATGGGCCGACTGATTCAAGCTGATAGAAGAGCAACTTTGACTGAAATAACCACTCGTTACAACCGAGGTATGCAGCAAAGCATTTGTGAAGCCACAACACGCACAACCTTGAGGCGGATGGGCTACAACAGCAGAAGACCCCACCGGGTACCACTCATCTCCACTACAAATACGAAAAAGAGGCTACAATTTGCACAAGCTCACCAAAATTGGACAGTTGAAGACTGGAAAAATGTTGCCTGGTCTGATGAGTCTCGATTTCTGTTGAGACATTCAAATGGTAGAGTCAGAATTTGGCTTAAACAGAATGAGAACATGGATCCATCATGCCTTGTTACCACTGTGCAGGCTGGTGGTGGTGGTGTAATGGTGTGGGGGATGTTTTCTTGGCACTCTTTAGGCCCCTTAGTGCCAATTGGGCATCGTTTAAATGCCACGGCCTACCTGAGCATTGTTTCTGACCATGTCCATCCCTTTATGACCACCATGTATCTATCATCTGATGGCTACTTCCAGCAGGATAATGCACCATGTCACAAAGCTCGAATCATTTCAAATTGGTTTCTTGAACATGACAATGAGTTCACTGTACTAAAATTGCCCCCACAGTCACCAGATCTCAACCCAATAGAACATCTTTGGGATGTGGTGGAACGGGAGCTTCGTGCCCTGGATGTGCATCCCACAAATCTCCATCAACTGTAAGATGCTATCCTATCAATATGGGCCAACATTTCTAAAGAATGCTTTCAGCACTTTGTTGAATCAATGCCACGTAGAATTAAGGCAGTTCTGAAGGCGAAAGGGGGTCAAACACCGTATTAGTATGGTGTTCCTAATAATCCTTTAGGTGAGTGTATACACACCATGATTGTGGTGAGCTTGACCCTTTCCAAGGAAACACGTGACTCATTGGATAATATGCTGGTCCTTCTATACTCCACATCCATATGGCCACATGCTCAGAAAAGAGCAGCCAAGCCCACCAGAGGGCGTGAGGAATCTCTGAGACACATCAGCGTTTTCGAAACTTCTATCTCAACACACCTGTAAACAATTACCTACTTGTTGAGCAGGTATTAGATCTTGCTTGTATCTTTGATCTTACTGAGTGCTTAGGACTTCATTGAGCTCTCCTAGATTTTAAGTGCTTTAACAGTTTTTTTCCTACTTCCTGCTGCCACTGTAGGGGCTCCTACTATTTAGACAGAATCCATTGTCTTACCTTTTGCTCATGCGTGCAGGGTGTCGTGGTTGGTGACGCATGCCCAAAGAGAGAGCGTGGGTTCTCTCTGCTGCTTAGGCACGATATAATAAAGACACAAGTTTTTTGGCGCTCAGCCTGTCTTGACTGCCTCTTTCCTTTTTGCTGCTGCACCGCAGCTCTACAGTGGTGACCCCGACGTTTCGGTGCGTTTGTTTTTCGCTCCGACCATGCTCGCTAATGCAGTTGCGCTCAAGCTCCCGGAGTTCTGGTGCGGCCAGGCGGTGGTCTGGTTCGTGCAGGCGGAGGCTCAGTTCGCCTTGCGCGGGATCACGGAGGACGCAACGAAATACTACTACGTCGTTGCAGCGCTTAACAGCTCCACGGCGGCTAGAGTGGTGAGTCTGCTGCAGAACCCTCCAGAGGCAGAAAAGTACGGTGCCTTAAAGTCTCTGTTGCTGGGCACTTACGAGCTTTCCGAGACAGAGCGCGCGAGCCGCTTGCTCGCGCTACCCGGGCTGGGTGATTCACGGCCCTCGGAGCTGATGGATCACATGCTAGCTCTCCTAGGTGAC